CTTAAGCTACTAAACTAAATCCCTGGCCCAGCACTAGATTTTTAATGAGAAACAAAAACACACTTTCATGTATTGGCAACAGAGGAGAAAGACCTCCAGGAGCCACACTAACCCAGCCACCAGGGCTCCAGGCTCTCGCACACAGAAGTCCTCTCATCTGAAACGTGCAAAGCACAGAGGCTGCAAAAATCTCTGTGCACCTGAGAGCCGAGCAAGAGACCAGCCTCTGCTCACAGAGAACTGACCAAGCGAGGCCATCAGAGAGTGGCCAGCCTGGCACCTGTCTCAACATCTTTGCAAACACATGCTTTGTTTCACCAAGAAACCAAGCAGGGAACTTTTGCCCCTAATTGTGATGCTATAGCTGATATAAATCTAGCCCTTCATTATAAACAATTATGAAAACAGAAGATACATATTCATACATATATATTCGTGGTCACATATAATGCTGTAAGTATACATAATGCTACATGCAGCTGTGTGTGTGTGTGTGTGTGTGCGCACGCACACATGTGTGCAGCGCTGTATTTATGTGCCAACTACTCGGGCAAGGCCAGCAAGCAGTGCAGTACCGCGACCTCTGAAAGAAAACTTGTGAAGCGGTTTCGCAGTTACCGTCTGCCCAGCTCTAAGAGCAGGAACAATTTCCCAACTATGCTCTAATGAGCTGAAGTCTAAACGGAGAACGTCCTTACCACAGAGCCCGGGATGCAGGATCCGGGTTTGAAACAGCTGAAGGCTAGAACCCAGCAGGTGGGTATCGGTGAGAATAAAGCCAGGCAGACGGGAGGCCAGTGGGTCAAGCAGGGCTTCTTCACAAATCTGGGCGGGGCTGGGCTGCCCCCATGCAGGAGGGCATCACCGAGGCGCTAGAGTTGTAGCTGCGACTGGGCTGAGGGCAAGCGTGCAGAGGGAGAGGGCAGTGAGGAAATCCTACTAACCTGTGTGAGTGCTGCGACCCTGCTCCTGAGACATCTGCAATTCAGAAGCTAGAAAGGACAATGACTGAAATGAAAAACTTACTAACAGGGCTCATCAGTAGAGGTGGGGAGGGAGAGAAAGAGGGCGGACACACGAAAGCAGAACAACTGAAATCTTCAACTTTAAAAAATAGAAAGAAAAAATAAACACAGCCTGGATGACTTATGGAATACCATCGAGCAAACCAACACATATGTAAGGGGAAATCCTAGAAGGAAAAGGGAAAAAGGCAGAATAAGCAGCATCTAAAAAACTAATAGCCACAAAAATCCCCAAATTTGATTAAAAGCATGACTCTACATAGCCAGAAATCCATGAACCAAGCAGAATAAGCTCAAAATTATACTGCAAGATACAGTATAGTAAACAGCCAATTTCTCTCAGAACTGAGAGAAGCCAAAGAAAGAAAGAAAGAAAGAAAAAAGAAAAGAGAAGCCAAAAGGCAGTGGGGAGACAAACATAGTGTAGATACATGATGACAATAAAAAAAATTATGAGAATGTTCTACTACGTAACGGCAGAGGATTATACACTATTTGAGCTGGTATTAATTTAAAATAGGCTATTACCCATTTAAAATGTTAAATGTAATCATCCATGGTAATCACAAAGAAAATATTTATAATACACACAGATGGAAAGGAGAATAAAAACAGCTTCCTATAAAAGTTAAAACCAAAAGGAGACAGTGGTAGAAGTACAACAGATACAGAACAAATACAAAAATGGCAGAACTCCCCATCAGAAATTTTTTTCAGTCCTGGGATTCAAACTCAGGGCCTCACACGTACCAGGCAAGCACTGTACCACTAAACAGCCTGAGTAATTATTTTTGAAGGTTTTTTTTTTTTTGAGGTGGGGGGTACCAGGACTCAAACTCAGAACCTCGCACTTGCCAGGTGGGTACTGTGCCACTGAGCTACAACCCTGGTAAGGAGCAATTATGTCAAACTATCAAAATCAAGCAGTAGTGACCAGCCATCAATGACACACCAACAGCCAAGATCATACTAAATGGTCAGAACTCAGTTCTTTCACTTTCAAAGCTTTCACTTTAAAATCAAGGACAAGGACACCCAGTGTCACCACTCCAGTTCGACACAGTTCTGGGAACATCAGAGAAATTGCACAGAGAAAGAAATAAAAGGACTATGGGTAAGAAATGAAGAAGTTAGATTATTATTTGCTGATATGATACTCTCCACAGGAGACCCCAAAAACTTCATCAAAAGACTCCTAGAATGACCAAATTCAGCAGCATAGCAGGATAGAAAATCAACACTCAAAAATCAATGGCATTCCTGTACACAGAGAACAAAGTCACTGAGAAATTAGTGAAACCACACCGTTCACAGTAACATCAAGAAAAATGAAACACTTAGGAATCCATCTAATGAAGGAAGTAAAAGATCTTTACATTGAAAACTACAGTACTCAGAGTAGACCAAAAAGCTGACCAAAGAGGCCATCAGAAAATAGAGAGATATCCTGTTCCTGGATAGGCAAAAGCAATACAGTGGAAATGGCCACACTTCCAAAACCGCTACACAAATTTAATGCAATCTCAATCAAAATACCAATAGCATACCTCATGGAACTAAACAAAGCAATCCTAAAATTCATATGGAACCAGAAGAGGCCTGGAATAGCAAAAGCAATTCTCGGTAGGAAGGGCAAGGCAGGGGGGCTCAAAATCCCTCACAAATTACACTGCAGGGTTACTAGGATTGAAAAACAAATCATGGTACTGGCAAAACAAGACAAAGCAAACCAAAAAATACAATGATCAACATAACAGAAGATGCAGAAACAGCCCCAAGCATACTCAGCCACCTTATCTTTGACAAAGGGCCAGAACATTTCCACAGGAAGACAGAAGACAGCGTGTTTTAACAAATGGTGCTGGAGAAACAGGCTTTCCACATGCTAAACCTGAAACCTAGAGCCACTTCTCCCAAAAAGAGGTTATACATAACATAGCTCCATATACATAATATCCTTAAAGTGAGAAAATTACAGAAACTGACAGCCCAGTGTGGTGGCATACCCCTGAAATCCCAGCGCTAGGAAGGCTGAGACAGGAGGACTGCCCTGAGCTACATAGCTATTGATGGCCAGCAAAGTTCAAGACTTTGCTCTAAAACAAAAAGCAAAACAAGTAAACAAACAAAAAAACTATGTATTTGCTTGCTTAGCATGTGTGAGGCCCTGGGTTTAATCTCCAACACTAAAAATCAGTAATAAGTTCAATCACTCCTCCTGACAGTCCTGTGAGCCAATCAATCACTTTCATGGCAGGAGACTGAGACAGGCAAAACCATCAGATCGAGGCCATCCAGCCCCGGCCTCACCCCACACGCATCCGTGCACCATTTCTCCCCAGGTCTGCGTTCCCAGAAGAGCAGGCCGGGAGTAATATGGGCCAGAACCTTCAGCCCCAGCAAGGCCCAGGACCCTCAAGTTAGACCCCAAGTCCCTTCCCCACTCTCAAGCAGAGGCAGAAATGCTTTTGGGCTCTCGCTACAGGTTGCAAAACAGCCCGGGGAGGAACTGGACCTTGGCATTGCCCACCTCAGCGAAGGCTCCCGTGTGCCATCCACCCACACACCTGGCAGAAGGGCACAAGAGGACACACGGAAAGGACATCCAGGAAAGGAGGCACTTTGCAGGCTTGGAAGGAGGCATCAGAGCAGATATAGAGTGACTGATGGACAAAGATTTGCTAAGAAGGAGCAGGGCGTTGTGAAGTTGAAGATGTATTAGGGTAGAAGACAATGGATGACTATTTAGGAAGGAGCTGGAGGAGATGGGGGAGAAACCACTGCGTACCCCCAGTCAGACCCGAGTAAAATAAGCGGCCCAGAGAACAGGTCACTGCCAAGGAAGCCACTGAAACGCCCCACCTCACTCCCTGTATCTTTTCTGGCCACTTCCTCGCTGTCCACATGAAGACCTAAGTGAACAGAAGCCCACCACTCCCTGAAGATGAGACCCCCCTCAGACCTCAGACAGCCTCTCCTGTCTCCTTGTAAGGACAGAACAGCTCCCTGCAAACCCAGAGGGGCAAACTGATGCAGCCCTGATCAGGCTGAGAAGGCATTAGCGTGGTCAGCTCTTTCTGCGCCGAGCTGGAGATGACTTTCTCATCTAACCTCCAGACACTTGGTTAAACAACAAACAGGTCAGAGGTGCCAGGCACGCTGCAAGTCGGGAGGCAAGAGGGCAGCAACGGCTGCTCCTGCTCTCAGGCTCAGCCGTAGGTCAGACCACTCGTTCCACAAAAGATCCTGCACTCACCTTGTGCGTTCATACCTGAAACCAAGAAACCGCCGGGCTGCGGATGTGGCCCAGGGGCAGCGCTCTGGTCCAGCATACACAGGCATGGACTCCACTCTTCTACTGGGGGAAAAGCAATCACGAAGCCCCATCTAGAGTGCCTGCTTCCTACACAAACTAAATGTCTATTTCTGCATGCGGAGACAGAGGTGGGCTCAAGGAACTCCCTGGGCCACCAGTACCAACCTCAGGGCAGCAGCTCCTGGTCTACCCAAAAAGCAGGTGTGCGAGATGGGAGCAGATCTCACACACTCTCACACACACACACACACACACTCACACAAATACACACACACACACGAGTAAGACACTTCAGCCACGCAGGGCATTCCAGCAGCCACTGTAATCAGGGTGCCATCCGGTACTGCAAAAGCCACACTGCCTTGGGCGACAGACTGTTCCATTGGGAAGTACCAGGAAGCCAGTGGGATAATCCTTCGGGCTGGGAAGGCAACCACCAGGGCAACAGGGAGCCCCAGCAGGCTAGAAAGGGCTGCTCTGCTTTGCTACTGGGCCCTGCTCCAAACAGCGCCCAGCAGGGAGCCGGCTGAAGGAGGATCCGCAGGTCCTTCCTGGAGGGCGAGCAAAGGCAGGAAGAAGTCAGGCCCAGCTCCTCTCAGACACAGCCCCCTCTAGCACCATAGTTACCACCAAAATGAATCGCCCTGTCAAAGCACAGGTTTACAGTTTTGCCATTTATTTTTTAAAATCTTATTCAAAATATTAAATAATACAATTTCAGATATGAAAAATTCCTGCAATAAAACAGTTCAGGTGTATTTGCGTTGTGGACCGTCACGCAGAGACCGAGGAGGCCACCACTGCTTCTCCCACCGCCACACAGCGTGGGCGCCACCCGGCTTCAGCGCACCTCGGCAGAGGTCCTGGCCTCTGAGAGCCGCGGCGACACCGGAAAGTCAATCGCGGTTCGAATCACACATTTACATACTGATCAATCCTTTCCATGACAGAAAGACAGGCTAACATTAAAATACAGTCATTTCCAGTTGCTGTAAAAAAAAGAAGAAAACATACTCAGTCCAGGAGGGGAAAAGTCTTTGTACACACTTATCCCTTATGTATACAAACAACTTCATCCAGGTATAATTTAATCCCAAAGACCTAAATACAACATTATCCAAGTGATAATGTCCCCTAAGATGTGGCCAACTTATTTCACAATGATGAACAAAACGAACAAGTCTGAGACATTTTAAATTCTGCCTACTGCTTGGAAACTTGGGAGGAGCCCACGCCACACTCAGTGGCTATCTCAAAGCTGAATGTTTACTATTCCAGCATAGGGAGACTTAGCTCAGCAGCATAAGCACCTGCCTGGCAAGTGCAAGGTTGTGTCTTCAAACCCCAGTACCACAAAAAAACAAAAAGATTTCAGCATAGGGCCTACTTTCTATTTCTAAAGTTAATTCTGCAATTCAAACCAAACAGTGGTGTCTTTTATCTGTATCCACTGCAAACTGTAGTCTTTTTTTGCCATAATTTCTAGACACATTTAATGTGTTACCTAAAATTATGGTCAAATTGACCAAGTACCATTATCTTAGATGATGATTTTGTTGCCTAGAGCTTCCTAAAGAGTATTCTTTAGAGAACAAAAAGTTACTTAAATGTAAAGCATTATCACATCCATCCTTGTACTTTACATTTGGTGACCACAAAAAACTTTACATTAAAAATTAGTGTCTGGATGGCAGAGAGTGAATCTAAGTGGTAATTACGTTAGAATTTAGTTACAAGTTTGAGACCTTTTAAAAGTACTGTAACTTCCAGAACTAGTATAAGAAATGAAAAATAATAAAAACTAGAAGCAGAGTATAAATATAAGATAATGCTTAACTTACATTTGGGACACCTGGGTGTATCAGCTCTAAAAGTGTAGATAAAAAATTATATACTCCTGTTTGTGACATTTAATTTCCAAAGCACCAAGGCAAGAGAGAGAGCTGCCTCTCATTTAAGTACCAACTGCTATGGAAAAAACACCTGCACAATATCATATAAAAAAATCAAGCAAATAAAATTACATAATAAGCAAACTCAAATCACAGTGCTTTAAAAAATATAATCATTGGTAATCTTCAGAGAAGGCATCGCCTCATGAACATTCTGGTCCAGACGATGATATTCCACTGTTTTAGAGCAAAGGCCATCACGCCATTTTCTGCTTTGAACCAGGAGGAAAATCTGGAATAAAACAAAATTAATTAGACCTGCAAAAGAAGAAACAGGACATAGCAAAAAAAAAAAAAATGTTATGACAAGGGAAGTATCTTTCTCCTAGGTTCCCAGACACAACCATTCCACACTACCAACAACAAAGGGCTGTTGTGCTTTCTAGAAGGACACAAACCGAGATAGCACTCCTACATGCCCACAGACACAGGGTCCTTGTTACTGAGGACTAACCCTGGGTGCTCTCTCCAGAGCTGAGTCAGAGACAACCTCCCTGTGTCATGACTCAGGGAGTCATGGACTGCACACTACGGCCAACCCAACCGCAATACTGAGGAACACAGACTTAGCATTCAGAATCTGTCTGCCTCAAATATTTCAGAGCTAAGGACAGAACAGTAACGGCCACAGACCCAAAGGGCTTGTCTGCTATTCCCTATCAATAGGCTAACTGGATTCTCAAAGCTGAAAAGCGTTTTGAAAATAACTGATCCATTCCGCCATTTCTTGGGTTAAAAAAAAACACAACCTAAGAACTCTAAGAAGAACATAGTTTTATGGAATCACAATAAAGCCAAGAACCTAAGACTTGTTTTTCCTTTTGGTTTTTTTGAGACACTGAGTCACTAAGGCAGGCCCCAACTCATAACAGCCCTCTTGCCTCAGCCTTTGAGAGCTGGAATTACAGTGCTGGGGTTACAGGTGGGCACGACCGCACCCAGCAAGGCTTCCTTAAGTATTAAAAAGAAACACTGCAGGTGATCTCCCTGTAAGTACCCTGAAAGGCGAACTCCTTGGCTGCGGGGTTAAGCAGTGAAGAGCTGCCCCTGTGGAACATGGCCCCATCATACTGTTTATGCCTCCTTCGCCTCACGTAGCCCAGCAAACTAATTCCAACACAGAAATAAACGTCCCTAACACCATGTTCTGAATCAAAAACTGGAAAGCATCTAAAAACCCACCAGGACATCAATGGCAGCTATTAAGCCATGCTTTTAAAGAATAGTAATGTTATAGTGAATGCTCATGACTATATAAAAATATATGCTATCTATATGCAATAACCTCCATTTAAAAATTGTACATGTCTATATAGCAGTTTGACACACAGACCAGGAGTACACTAGGAAAGTAATAATGCTCTCTTGGTGGTAGCTTAAATTTTCTTTTCTAAACTCTTATTGTGTTTCTCAATTCTCTAAAACAAACACGCAATACTTCTGGTGGCAAACGCCTACATAATCCCAGAACTCTGGGAAGCTGAGACAGGATAGTTCAATTAAGTCTGCCATGGGCAACTTGGCAAAACTCTGTCTCAAAGTAAGAAAAATAAAATAACTAAAAGGGGGCTCATTGTGAAAGCCCAGGGTTCATTGCTCAGTGCCACCAAAAAAAAAAAGTAAAATTAGGTATCTCAATATTTTCCAACACTTCACACTTGACTATAAAGGAACTGGTAAGGGCCAGGCATGTGGCCCATGTCTGTGATCCCAGCTGCCCAGAAGCCTGGGACAGAAGGTGGTGACTGCAAGGTCAGGCTGGGCAATGCAGAGGTCCTATCTCAAAACAGAAGAGGAAAGAGGCCGGGAGGTGGTTCGGTGGGAGAGCACTTTCCCAGCACCATGCACCCCGGGAGTCAAACCAACTGATACAGCACCTGCCTGAGTAATGAAGTGCAACCCGAGCACCTAAAACCCTAAACTTACCTTCCTTTTATTGTGATACGTCACGTACACGACAGCAATACAAAAAGCAAAAATAATAAGGTGAAAAAAGAAATGGCTGTCTTCCTCTTCGACATCGGAGGATGGAGACTTAAAAGACTTCACTGACTGTTCGATCTCCACGTAACCCCTGTTTTCTTCCAGAGCCTCATCGGACTCCTCGTCCCTGGGGCTGGTGGTCCAGTCATAGTCCGCTTCTCCGTAATCGCCGTTGTCCAGAGGGTCTTTGACTGGGGACGGGGGGCTATTGGGTGTGAGGAGGCCCTCGTCCTCCTCCAGGCTCGGGTCTTCATGGTCTTCAGCTTCTTCCGGGAGCGGAGAGGAGGTCGGCGGGGGACGGGGCGCTGCCGTGGGTGCCCTGCTCTTCTCAGTAGCAGTCGGGGGAGGGAGAGTGGTGGTGACGTGGGCCTTAGAAGGTGTGCTTTCATGTTCACCTTTTAAAGCATTCGCATGGGAAACGTCTAGGGTGTGTACAGTTGGACCTGTGTGCTGACTGTCCGACATACCTGAAATAAATGAAGACAGACATTACCGGAAATCTCCAGTGCTCCCTCCTCCACCACGGGAGAAAGCACATTTACTAAGTCTTGTAAGAGCTCCTCCACTGGGTCCCTGTTACTAAATCTGCACAGCAGCGCACCCTGACAGCTCTTCCCAGCCACACGCTCAGCAGAGGAGGAGAGCTCCACTCGGCAGTAACAGGTGCATGGCCCAGCGGCGCGGACAGCGCTGAGCTGGGAACTGAGGCCAAGTCCGAGAGCTCTCCCGTCACACCGTGCTCCCCACACACTGTGCTCCTCTCACAAAGAGGACGACTCCAGCCATCCTGGCCCAGGCTCCATCCTGGCAGGGACAGGAAGAGTGGCCGATACCAACTCCAGGAGGTCAGGAAAAGACACACTGTGAACCGGAACCCTCTCAACACACTGCAGGGCACTCAGAGGAGAAGGCACAGACAAGCTGCAGGCATGTCTAAGAGACACTTCAACAGAAAGCCCCCTCCTTCCTTCCAAGTTAGGAAGGATGAGAAAATGCCTAGAAGACAAAAACTAGAACAGGTCCCAAAAAGGCCAGTGACAGCCAGACTGTGGCAAAGCCTGGGGAAGACAGGCAGGTACAGAGAAGGGCACCAAGCGACACAGCCTCTGAGTTCCCTATGCTCCTGCCACTCAGCATAGCTCACTAAAGGGAAAATCACTTACAGCTATAGCTACACAGCAAGAGCAATCCACAGAGGCAGATTCCACAGAGAAGTCCCTCTTGAAAGTGAGACACCTGGCCAGGCATGGGAGTGTTCACCTGCAATCCCAGCCCTGGGGAGGCTGAGGCAGGAGGATTGCTGCAAGTTCAAGGCCAGCCTGTGCTACAAAGTGAGCTCAAAGCCAGCCTGAACTGCATAGCAAGACCCTGTCTCAAAAGGACCAAAGCAAAAAGAAAAAACAGAAATTAAGACATGCTCCTAATTTATACTGCAGTACAGCATCAGTTGAAGAACTTCAAGGATGTTTAACAACAAAACACTCTGTCATGTGGGGTCTAATCTAAATACATTAGATAAAAATAAATAAATATATACATAAATATATTGGATGACATCTTAGGGCTATCAAAATATTTTATAGGATAAGATTAGACCAAGTTGGGCTGGGGTTTAGCTCAGTGGTGTAAACGTCTTCCTGGCAAGCACAAAGTCATGAGTTCAATCCCTGGCACCAAAAACAAAAAAAACCAGATTATACCAGATTAGACAAAGTCAACCAGGGCTTGCACAATAGTGTATGTCCATAAACAATTCTTCGTTTATGAGAATACCCATATATCAGAGTATTTCCTATGTGAATAGGAATCCTTTTCCTATTCACATAGGAAAAAACATAACTGGTTTCAATTGGGCTTAAGAAAGTCTCAAAAAAAATAATTTAGTAAATTATCTAAAAGATAGTAGGGCCAGCCAGCAGTGCTGGTGAACACCTGTAACCCCAGCACTCGTGCAGCTGAGGAAGGAGGCCAGCTGGGGTTCAAGGCCAGCCTTGTGAGTTCAAGGCCAGCTTGAACTACACAGCAAGATCTTGTCTAAAAAACAAAAAAAAGATGGTAGGTTATAGCATAGCATACTGGTAAAAAGCCTGCCTACCATGCATGAGACCTGGGTACAATGCTCTGTACCACAAAAAAAAGTAAAACTTAACCAAAAGATAGTAAATCAGTAAACTTTTTTTAAAAATTCTCAACAGTTGAGTTCCTTGAAATCTTTAACTGGAAGAAAACAAATAACATGATATACAACACAGTACATTATTCAGAAGGCAAAGGATTTCTAAAAGGATTTTCACATTTATCTCTTCAATGTTTCAAGAGCTTACACATTTAATTTTCATCCCAAAGTATAGAAGAACAAGTCTCAAAATATAATTAAAACAACCAGGAGACGGCTCACCAGCCTCAATCTTTAATGGAATAATCATTCTCTGGCTGACTTTCCGGACAGTCACGGCCCTCTGAGGGGCGCACATGGACCGGGAGGGGGTAACCCCACAGAAACCCCTCTGCGCACTCTGGAACTCAGGGCCTCAGCAGAGCACGTCCTCCCTGCTCCATGCTCAGTTAGACTCAGGCCAGGCAGCCTCCCTTAAAGCGTGCCTGCCCTGCAGCTCCCTCAGTCACCTCTCCCCTAACCTCAGGCCCACACAGTCCACTTGCTAACATGCTCTCCGCCCTCCCACAATCCCTGGCGCCCACGAACCCTGCCGACAACACTCTTCTCTCTTCAGTGAGACGCAGCCCTGTGCCGACACACAAGCCTCTCCGGCCCACAGCAATTCCTCCCCTCAGCTGTCCACCCAGCTCCCGGCTCTGCCCCATCCACACCAGGCACCTGAGCATGGCTGGGAACAAATGCACACCATGTCACTGTTACCCTCTCATCTGCAATTGCAGGCCAGGGTCGGGGATTTGCTCAACAGGTAAGTGCCTGCCCGGCAAGCGAAGTCATGAGTTCGATCCCCGGCACCAAAAAAAGATGTGACGAAATTCCAGGCCAGAGTCAGGTCCATGGGTAAAGCCGTCACAATGATGTCCATTTTCCCAGTCCATTTCCCTCCCCCTCCTGGAGCTGTCCCGTTCTCTCCTCCAGTGTCCCACAGCCTCTTGATAGCCTCACTCGCACCTGAAGCCATGACCTGCTACCCTGGAACAAGGAGGGGCAGAGGACTCCAGGAACTCACCATTCCGCGGCCTGCCTGACATCACACCGCAGGGACATGAACACGTCTCCCACGAATGCTCACAGACAGGGCACTCTGCCCTGCCTCTTCCTCAGAGCCCCTAAAACTTGATCATATATCTATACACAGACAGAGACAGAGACAGGTAAGCATCGTAACAAGACTCTGAAAGGTGGAGAGAACAAAGCAGAAGGGCTTAAAAAAAAAACCCCTACTACGTCAGGATCTCAGGATGGAGACAGCACATGGCAGTGGGGCCTGGCGGCCCGGCAGGCTGCACAATGAACCCCAAAGGCTGATGCCTTGAAGGCTTGATCCCAGCTCTGGCAGGGCGCACTGGGGGTGGAAGGGCCCAGGTGGGAGGCAAGCCCTTCAGGGGCCTCTCACCCCTCCCTGTCTCCCTCCCACCCACTCACTGCTGCCTCGCAGCAGCGGGGCGAGCAGCTTGGCACCAACCACGCCCTCCGCCCCATGCACCACACACCAAGATGGCACCAGCAGCCCAAAGCAACAGGACCACCAGGCCTGGGCAGGCTGTAAACCCGTGAGCCACACAGGCCTCTGCTCTCTCTAAGTTCATTCTCTCGGGCATCTGCCACGGTACTGGACAGGGGGACAGGGGGACAGGGGGACAGAGGGACAGGGGGAAGGAGGGAAGAAGAGAGTGTGGAGGCTAAGAAACAATCACCCAGTGGAAACCAGACGGGAGGGCGAAGCACAGAGGCTGAGGACAAAAGCCAAACAAAACACTAAGGGTCACTAGAGCGAAAGAAAAGAAACAGAGCGTGACTGAGAAATAAAGAAATAATGCTGAACAGAAATGATGGCAGGAAAAATGAATGTAAAAAGATTCGAGAAGTTTATAGAAGCCCTAGCAGGATAAATCCAAAGAGATCCACACAAAATACACTATAAATATAAAAAACTAAAGACAAAAATATCAAATGTAAGCCCTAACATATATAATAATGACATTATATACAAGTGGCCTGAATACCCCAAATACGTTTTTTTCTTCAGGCTGGCCTTGCACTCACTATGTAGCCCAGGCTGGCCTTGAACTCTGGGGGAGCCTCCAGCCATCTCAGCCTTCTGAGTGCTGGGATTACAGGCGTGCGACACCACGTCCAGCTGCCAATTAGAAGGCAGACCATGGCAAGCCGCGTCACACGCCATCTGTAAGAAGCTTTTTTCAAATACAACGATCAGCAAGCTGAAAGGGACAGGAAATGATGTGTCATGCAGGCGTCAACCAAAGGAAAGCAGAAGTGACTGCTCTAAATATCAGAGACCAGAATGAAGAAGACACTAGAGAGGAGCTTTATATCATAAAGTGGTCAAGTGCCAAAAAAGACCCACAGTGTGCACCAAACGACAGAGGTGCAAAATACGTGAAGCAAAAATCAAGGGATCTGAGGCCAAGCATGGTAACACACACCTCTACCCCAGCACTCAGGAGGCTAACGCAGGAGGATTGTTGTGACTTCAAGACCCGGCTGAGTTACATAAATGAGTTCAAGGCCAGCCTGCAGGACACAGTGAGACTGCCTCAAAAAATAAAAGACAACTAGACAAAAGAACTAGACAATTCCCTCCCCCAAAATTGGCAATACCATCAATCAACACAATCTACATGACATTTACAAAATTTCTAACAATAGCAAAATACAGGGGGGCATGTGGCGCACACCTGTAATCCCAGCACTAAGGAGGCTGAGGCAGGAGGATCACCATGAGTCCAGGGCCTGCCTGGGCTACAAAGTGAGTTCAAGGCCAGTCTGAACTGCACAGCAAAATGCTGTCTCAAAAAGACTTTTTTAAAAAAGGCAAAAACATTTTCAAGAGCCCACAAGACATACACCGAAATATTCTATGTCATAGACCATAAAGCATCTCTCACCAAATTAAACAAATGAAATTGTGTCTGTTCTCTGATAATACTGGATTCCAATAGATACTGGAGCTCAGGGATAGAGGGCATGCTTAACAGGCATAAGGCTCTGTTGTTCACTCTCTGGCACTACAAAACAAAATGATGGAAACAAACTTTTTTTTTTTTGTCTTTTTCCTTTTTATCAGTACCACGGACTGAACTCACGACTGCCTGCTTGCAAGGCAGGCACTTATACCACTGAGCTAAATCCCCAGCCCCGATGGAAACAAACTAATAAAACAGGAAAACCTACAAACACTTAAAACAGCATACTTCTAAATAAACTATAAGTCAGAGAGGAAGCCTCAAGGGTAATTTTAAAAATACAATGAGCTGCCAGGCGTGGTGC